TAACTCTCTATCCCTCTCCCTTCCTCTCTGTAAAAACTCAATAAAACATATATTAAAAATAAATAAATAAATAAATAAATAAAATAAAGAAACAACTGAAGAATATAGTGGGGGGCGTGCAGGAGGTAGCCGATCCACGATTCTCTCTCATCATGGATGTTTCTCTCTCTCTCTCCCTCTCCCTTCCTCTCTGAAATCAATAAAGATATATTTTTTAAAAAAGTAACCCAGGAAAGAGGGCATTTCCTAGAAACCCGCATTATCTGCACAAGCTTGTAAGCCGGGGACCAACATCAGAGTTGTCCTGGCCCCTTCCCGGCATCTCCAGTCCCGCCCATCCTCCCCCGCCCAGCGCACCCCACCCACAGAGAACGGCCCTGGCCCGAACCTGATGCTGTGTGTGTGTGGCCGCACACACACCCTCTCTGATCAACATGCATTTTTGAAAAACCCCTCTTCCGTCAGGAGAGAGCAGTGGTTCTCAACCTCGGCTGCCCATGAGAACCCCCTGGGCATCTTTTTAAAATCCTGATGTCACCGAAACTGGTGTGGCTCAGTGGATAGAGCGTCGGCCTGCGGACTGAAAGGTCCCAGGTTCGATTCCAGTCAAGGGCATGTACCTGGGTTGCGGGCACATCCCCAGTGGGAGGTGTGCAGGAGGCAGCTGATCGATGTTTCTCTCTCATCGATGTTTCTAACTCTCTCTCCCTCTCCCTTCCTCTCTGTAAAAAATCAATAAAATATATATATTTTTAAAAATCCTGATGTCTGGGCCTCCTCCTCCGGAAATTCTGTGTCTTTGTCACTCATGTTGTGGCCCCGGCCCATCACCAAGACACAGAATCTCCGGAGGATGAGGCCCAGAAACCGGGATTTTAAAAAGATGCCCAGGGGGTTCTCATGGGCAGCCAACGTTGAGAATTGCTGGGAGAGAGCGAAAACTTAGCCCAAGTGGAAGTCCAAGCCCAGAGTTGCTTATCCAATGGGAGAAGAGCAGGACGCGCACACAGGCGAACCGGAGACAGTGGCGACCGGCTGCTGAAAGGTATTCCAGCCCCGGCCGGTGTGGCTCCGTGGATAGAGTCTCGGTCCGTGGACCAAAGGGCCCCGGGTTCGATTCCTGTCAGGGGCACGCACCTCCGCTGCAGGCTCAGTCCCCGACCCTGGTGGGGGCGCGTGCAGGAGGCAACGAGTCGAGGTGTTACGTGTCTCCTCACGTCGATGTTTCTCTCTCTCTCTGTCTCTCTCGCTCCCTTCTATTCTCTCTCTTAAAATCGACGGGAAAAAAATATCCTCACGTGAGGGTGAACAAAAAAATTAAAAGGTGCTCTGTGAAGAGGTGAATACATCGTTTCAGCAAGAAGATATAAACGACTTTCTGTTTGTTTGTTTTGGTTCATCCTCCCCCGTGGATATTTTTCCGTTGATTTTTAGAGAGAGCGGAAGGGAGAGGGGGAGAGAGAGAAACGTTGATGTGAGAGAGACACACTGATAGGTTGTCTCCTACACGGGCCCCGACCAGGGCCAGGCCGGGGAGGAGCCTGCCACCGAGGTACATGCCCTTGACCGGGAATCGAACCCGGGACCTTTGGTCTGCAGGCCGAAGCTCTACCCACTGATCCACACCGGCCAGGGCTAAACTCTTTTTTTAATTATGCAAGTGGCATACGCCTGTCTTCTTCTTTTGACGAATCATGTTCTGTTATTAGAATATTTTAAGGAAAACCAAGCTCACTTCCCCAAAGCACCCAGGCCCTCTCAAACAACCACTGCGTTTTCAGTGTTTCCAACCTGGAGTGAATCCTTCCAAATCTTTTTTTATTTTTATTTTTAAAAAATATATGTTTTAATTGATGTCAGAGAGGAAGGGAGAGGGAGAGAGAGAGAAAGATCCATGATGAGAGAGAATCACAGATCGGCTGCCTCCTGTATGCCCCCTCGTGGGGATCAAGCCCGCAACCCGGGCGTGTGCTCTGACCGGGAATCGAACCGTGACTTCCTGGTTCCTAGGTGGACACTCAACCACTGAGCCACACTGGCCGGGCCCAATTCTTTTTAAAAATATATACATACATTTACATACTTATGTGCATGGCTATGTGCGTGCCTGTATGCATACAGACACACCTGTAGAAGTATATGGTGTGTGTGTGTGTACACGTGGTATCAATAAATGGTATATGTACCACAAACAAACAGTATATATACCGTTATGTATACCGTGCAGTACATATAACCTTGCCATGTTAACTCCCAGCTCGTTCTCCCACTCCTCCGTTGCGCCAGTGTCTCCAGGGACACAGGCAACAGGGGGGTAAAGGCCTGGGGTGGGGGCGGGGCGGGGCTCTT